AAATTGCACATTTCCTAATTGGTGCATTTTAGTGAAAATGCTAGGCAACTTTTGGTTCATAGATTATGGGCATGTTTGGATTGTAACTATCTTTATTATATATTGCCATATTATTTTGACACGCTTGCCTTACTTGTATTGCTTAAATTCTTGGTCACACTCTGGCTTGCTTTAGAAAATCTTGTCACAATTTTTGTATCTATGACACGTGAAGCTTGATTAATGCTCATTAAAACAATTCTTACCTTAGTTGTGGCTAGAATCAAACACACACCTAACTTTGTCAAACTTGTCTAAGTTGAGTTGTGGCAACCTATGGTCTGGAATCAAACACCCCCTACATAACAATGGTCATGTACGTGATGATGGCAATTTTCTTAAGATTTACAAAAGAAATTCAAAGAAGAGATTAGGGCATCTTCAATGTCGATCCTTAAACCACCCGCAATCGTCTGGACCGCGCGGTCCGGACGTGTTAGCCATCCATCACGGGTATGTATTGGTCTGGACGTGATTTCTCCCGCAAAGTGGAGATAAAGCCGGAGGCCCACTAAATCTCCCCTCTCAGTCCCATCTGCTTCCACTCCTCCCATTCTTACCCTTGCATGCAGTAGAGGAGATCATAAGTTTTGTTTCTTCTTGCTTAACTTGTTTAAATAATTCCTTCACTTAATCTTGGTCTACACATCATGTAGCCCGCATGTGCTACCATGATGTACCACAGGACAGATTGACGACCATTTACATACACACACTGTTGGATGAAGCTGAAGGGTTAGTATGTTCTCGCATAAAAAAGGGCAGTATGTGTGGGATGACATGATCCATTGATGAAAAACTTGTTGGACATCGAGTTAATCTCATCAAATTTAAGACATTGTTGTAGTAGACTTAATTTGCATGCTATGTATGGATGATTTATGCTATTTTCTATTCGAATTTTGATGAATATCGAATTGTTTGAATGAACTCGTCCGGTTAGTTGAAAAATTGTTTGAAATGCATGTGTTTAACATTGGATAGCGTCTTTGATATCAATGTTTATGGACTGACCATCTATAATGCTGAAGCAAATTTATGGGTCAGCGTTGGAGATGCTCCAGACAACCCGCAAAAAATGCGTTGTCCTTTAAGAAAGTGGAGTGCTAGCCTTCTATTTTGAGTTGCGGTGTGAACTAGTGAGATTGGAGTATGTCGCGCAGGATAGACCGCAGGCACGACTTGTGGGTGCAGCTGACGTGGCGCGCAGCGGCACCGGGGCCCACCCAGTAACAGAGCCCGAGATACATCGTGGCCTGATCCGTGTGGCCTTGAGTATATCGGAAATTTTTGGAAGCATCCACAGGTACGAAGTCAAAGACTCACCGAGGTAGCATCCGTCGCCGGCCAAGAAGCCGTCGCCCTCCATCCCCGCCACGCACCCGCACCGGTGCCCCGTCTCCCCGCTAGGCGTTCGTACGTCGGTGCACGACGCGTTCGCCGCGCAACGCTCGCCCCCGCCGGCGCCGCACGTCCCGTTGAGCCACCAGCCGAGCTCGGCCACGCCGAACTCCAGCGTAGCCGTCCCCTCCGCAGTGACCACGAACACCGTGGAGGTCAGCACGTCGCCGCACTTTCGCTTCTCGACCTTCTCCCACAGCAGAAACTGGCCACACACCGCCGCGGTGGAGTTTGGCGGGGCGGAAGCGACGCACGCCACCGCGGCGGGCGAGGTGTCGTTGCCGAGGCCGGCGCACTGCGCCGTGCGGAGCAGCCTGGACATGACGTCCACGGGCACGCTGCATCCGCCGCCCGCCGACGCGTTGACCCCGCTGCAGCCGCCGCGGAGGAAAAGGCCCGTGCGAGACGACACGCCGTAGTTGCCCCCGGAGAGCGCCCTCCGGGCCTCGGGGACGCTGCGGCTGCACGACGGCGAGAGGCCGACAACGACGGTGGAGGTGGTGGAGTTGAAGGATATCACGCGGTACGTGGTGCCGTTCTCTCCTATGTATGGGAGGGTCGCCGTGGATACGCTGGCGTCGCAGGACAGCGGGATGGGGCAGCCGGGGGAGAAGCCAAAAGGGTAAGGGACGGTGGTGGTGCCGCACCGGCGGCTGCACTGGCTACTGCCGCCGGAGGCTGCGGCGGCGGAGCAGCTGGTTTCATGGGGGAGCAAGACGGCAAGGAGCAGGACGACAAGACGGCGCATCTCGTAGAGATTGTAGACCAACTTGAGCTTGCAATTTCAGGGAGACTGGGAGAGAGAGATTTTGGTAGGTGCAGTTGCTTGCTTGAATGGGTTGTAGGTGAGCTCGACTAGTCGGGACAAACTGGTCAAGGGGAACAGTCATGAATATTGTTATTAGTAACATTTTCTTCATATCTTTTTCAAAATTATTTAGAGTCGATTCTCTTTTGACTATTATTATCACTAGCACGCCAGGTAGTGGGCCCTGTATCAGTAGCACAAAGTTGATTTCCAACTATTTAGTGTGGCACACAAATGAGCTTGAATATATAATACTACCCCGTAAAAAAATATAAGAGCGTTTAGATCACTAAAGGAGTACTCCCTCCATAAATTAACATATGAGCGTTTAGAATACTAAAGTAGTGATCTAAACACTCTTATATTAGTTTACAGAGGGAGTACATCTTTTGACTCTGTCGTGGGCTCCATGCAAATATTTTTGTATTCCCGTCTATTAACCAAAATTTCATAATAGAGACTGGAAAAAAATATCAAAAATCGTTTTCAGAAGTAGATGTATTTGCCAGCTGAAATCTATCATATGGTGGATGATTAGTGTTGATTAATTTGGATTTGAGTAGTCCGCATATTTTCATGACGTCCTTTCTAGAATTCCCTAAAAGATAAAGGCCTCCTTCAAATCACATTTTCTTTTCGGAATCATTAAAAATCTATCCGTCTCTAGTTTCAAAAAAATAAAAAATAAAAAAAATTGTCCGTCAAACGCATTAACTGCCGTCTCTAGTTTGCCAGCTGGAATCATTAAAAATTCTAGAATGCAAATATTTTTGTATTCCCGTCTATTAACCAAAATTTCATAATAGAGACTGGAAAAAAATATCAAAAATCGTTTTCAGAAGTAGATGTATTTGCCAGCTGAAATCTATCATATGGTGGACGATTAGTGTTGATTAATTTGGATTTGAGTAGTCCGCATATTTTCATGACGTCCTTTCTAGAATTCCCTAAAAGATAAAGGCCTCCTTCAAATCACATTTTCTTTTCGGAATCATTAAAAATCTATCCGTCTCTAGTTTCAAAAAAATAAAAAATAAAAAAAAATTGTCCGTCGAACGCATTAACTGCCGTCGGATTTTCAGCATGGACCTTAACGCAAAGTTAGCTTCACGTCAGCTCTTGGCATCGTTCGTTGGGAAGTGAGAACCGAACGAATGGGTTTTCTTCCTTCTCCTCACCGATAGCCGTCGCTCCCCTCTCACCTCACCCATTCTCTCATCTCCCCTTACCCTCCCGCGGCAACCAACCCAAGCTCTGCTCGGTGTTTTGCCGGTGAGATGGTGCGGTGGATCTCGGTTACTTCCCGGCGATTTTTCGTCAAATATTTGGTGCCGGGGAGGCAAAACGGGGCTCTAGATGGTGTTGATGGCCGGCGAGGTCCGGGGCGCCACCCTGGTGGTAGCGGCATCAATGGCATGGTGTTGGCGACAGAGGTTATGGTGTTTGACGCAGTCGTCGTCGATGATTGATGGGAGGAGGCAGAGGCGGTGCAAACACACAATGTAAAATAATGCAATATCCGGTCTTAATCTGGTTTCAAACTTTTGTCCTAAATGCGATATTTATGAACAATTTGGATTTGAGTGGTTAAATTTGAGGGTTTAGTTACCTCGCCACTTTTTTTTAACTCGGCGTGTCTATATCGGTGCACGTTGGGTTAAGATTTGAGGAGAGATAAAAAAAAGATTTGAGGAGAAGTTTCGAAAAAAAATTGAGGAGAAATTTTAGGGGTCAAGATTTGAGGAGAAACTTTAGGGTGGTCTACCCACCAAGTCACAAGTGGTCATGACTCACCTAGGTAGTGGCATCCGTCGCCGGCCAAGAAGCCATCGCCGTTCATCCCCGCCTGGCATGCGCACCGGTGTCCTTTCTTCCCGCTCGGCGTGTCTACGTCGGTGCAAGTCCCGTTCGCCGCGCAAAGCTCGCCGCTGCCGGCGCACGTCCCATTGACCCACCAGCCCAGCTCCGCCACGCCGAACTCCAGCGACAGTACCGTGTCCGTGTCCCCATACAGCGCCGCCGTCAGCGCGTCGCCGCACCGAAAGGCCTCCACTTTCTCCCAGCGCAAGAACTCGTTGGGATAAGCGGACTTCAAGGCCGGTGCCGGCGCGGGCGCGGGCGCCGCCACCGCCGTGCTGTTCATCGGAGAAGAGGCAAAGCACGTCACGGAGGTGTCGTTGCCGACACACTGCGCTGTGCGGAGAAGCCTGGACATGACGCTCGCGGGCACGCTGCATTCGGCGCCCGACGCGTTGATCTCGCGGCAGCCGCCGCGGAGGAACAGACCGGTGTGGGACGAGACGCCGTAGTTGGCGCCGGAGAGCGCCTTCTTGGCGTCGGGGACGCTGCGAGTGCACGATGGCGGGAGGGAGACGACGATGGTCGAGGTGGTGGAGTTGAAGGAGTGGATGGTCGTGCCGCTGCGACCGAGGATCGGCGTGGATATGCTGGCGTCGCAGGACAGCGGGATGGGGCAGCCGGGGGAGAAGCCAAAAGGGTAAGGGACGGTGGTGCTGCCGCACCGGCGGCTGCACTGGATACCGCCGCCGGAAGCTGCGGCGGCGGAGCAGCTGTTTTCATGGGGGAGCAAGACAGTAAGGAGCAGGACGACGAGACGGCGCATCTCGTATGTACCTGGAGATTGTACTAGAGCTCACAAAATTTCATTGAGAGAGGTAGAGAGAGATTTTGGTAGGTGATGCAGTTGCTTGTTTGAATGGGGTTGTAGGTGAGCTCGACTAGTCGGGACAAAATGGTCAAGCAGAACAGTCATGAGTACTGTTGACATTTTCTTCATATCTTCTTCAAAATTATTTAGAGTAGATTCTCTTTTGACTATTATTATCACTAGCACGCCATGTAGTGGGCCCTGTATCAGTAGCACAAAGTTGATTTTCAACTATTTAGTGTTGCACGCAAATGAGCTTGAATATACACATCTTTTGGCTCTGTCGTGGGCTCCATGCAAACATTTCCTTATTCCCACCCATTACCCAAAATTTCATAATAGAGACTGGGAAAAAAAATATCGAAGATCATTTTCAGAAGCGATTTGTTAAAAAAATAATTCTAAAAGACTAAGGCCTTCTTTGGATCACATTTTTCTTTTCGGAATCCCTAATAATTTGGCTGTCAAACACGTTAACTACCGTCGGATTTTCAACACAGATCTTGATGCAAAGTTAGCTTCACGTCAACTCTTGGCATCGTTCGATGGGAAGTTGGAACCGAACGAACGGTTATTTCCCTTCCCCTCACCGACAGCTGTCACTCCCCTCTCATCTCACCCATTCTGTCATTTCGCCTTATCCTCCCACGGCGACCAACCCAAGCTCCGCTCAGCGATTTGTTGGTGAGATGGTGCGACAACAATGTGTGGTGCGCAGAATCTGATAATTTTCCGACGATTATTCTTCAGATATTTGGTGCTGGGGGAGGCGGAACGGGGCACCAGATGGTGTTGATAGTCGGAGAGATCCGGGATGCCGTCCTGGTGGTAGCGGCGACGATGGCGTGACGTTGGCGGTCAGGGTGCAGGATGGCGGCGGAGGCTACATTGTTCGACGCCTTCGCCATCGATGATTTATAGGAGGAGGTGGAGGCGGTGCAAATGCGCGCTAGGCACAGAGGCGCTCCGCTCTGTCGCTGCGTGGGGAGGAGCAGAGGTGTTTCCGCGGCTGCCGCGCACGGAGGACCATGCAAATCCCTCGTCAGCTGTGAGTGCCTCTCCTCCCTCCAGTCTCGGGTCAATTTTAGTGTTTGTTGTTGCTGCTCTACCGCTCTATTTGTCAGTTGTGCTGTGTGACTCCTTCATTTATAGATTTTCCCAAAGTTACCATGATTTCAATGAATTATGTCGGAAGTGGGGGCTCTGTGGATCCAAAGAAAGGTTCGAACTCTGGGGTGCGCATGGAGAACTTCGCTACGCCTCTGCTTGCCGCTCGCCGTCTCACAGCGATGCTTCGCCGGGCCCAGGAGAGAGAAGGGAAGGAATCAGACTCGGTAGTTTACCCAGGTTCAGTTGTAATGCCCCGTATGTAACTTGCCATATTTGTATTCCAACTCTTGCCATTTTCGGCACTAAGTTATGATATTCCCTCGTGGTTGGATTTTGTCTTCGTTTCGCTTTTGTCCATGTCATGCATCTCATATCATGTCATCATGTGCATCGCATTTGCATACGTGTTCGTCTCATGCATCCGAGCCTTTTCTCCGTTGTCCGTTTTGCATTCCGGCACTCCTACGTCCTCCGGTGCCCCCTTTTGCTTCTTTTCGTGTGCGGGTGTTAAACGTTCTCGGACTGGACCAAGATTTGCCAAGCGGCCTTGGTATGCTATCGGTAGACCGCCTGTCAAGTTTCGTGCCATTTGGAGTCCGTTTGATACTCCAACGGTTAACCGACGAACCGTAAAGGCCTCGTGTGTGTTGCAGCCCAACACCACTCCAAAGTGGCCCAAAACCCACCAAAACCCCCTCCAAGCTCTCGGTCGTTCGATCACGATCGCGTGGCCAAAAACCGCACCTCATTTGGACTCTCCTAGCTCCCTCTACCTATAAATAGGTGCCCCTCCCGGAATTTTCGCGCAGATGAAACCCTAGCCTAGCCCCTCGTCGCCGCCGGACACGTCCGAGACGGCCGGATGCGTCCGCCCACCACCGCCCGACCAATCGGGAAGCACCACGTCGCGCGCCTGTGCCCACTTTGCCGCCCTCCCGCACCGGCCCGTCGCGGGCCCCCCGAGGCCCGTCGCCTCCCCCGCGCGCCTTCAAGCCTTCGCCGCCGTCCGCCTTACACCGCCCCGCTGCGCAGCTCGCCGCCGGCCGCCGCGCGCCTGAGGCGCCCCGTCGCCGCCGCCTCACGCGCTCCGCTGCTCGGCGCCGCCCTTCACCACCTCCGGATCCGGCAAGTCCCCCACGCCGGCGAGCTTCTTCCCTTCTCTCCGGCCACCGCATCCATCAACTCCGACGGGAGATTCCGGCGATCCTCGGAAAGCGCGCCTGAAACCGTAAATGCAGATCTGGGAGGTGTTTTTCCCCTAAGTCCCTATATTTTCTAGGCATCTTCATCATGTCGTATCCCTGCATCCGTATCTCCGTTTTGGGCGTGTGATATACCAATTTGTTCATCTGGATGTGATCTTCATTTCGTTCCATTGCACCATGCTTGTTTGAATCCATCTTGATGCCTAAAATGCTGTTGCAAGAGTGCTATAAAATGTTAGTTTCTGTTTCTTAACAGATTATGAGCATTTGTCATTTTTGCCATGATTAATGTGTGCCTCCTATGAACTTGAGCCCTACATGTGTTTTGGGCTATGCCATGACATCTCTACAGGGGTGTATGCCATGTATTTTTGTGATCAATGTGGTGACTAGCACATGCATGCAAAGTAGCTCTTGTGATGTTGCTGATTTCAGGGACTTGGAATTATTTCAAGTCATCTCCCTGATGTTATTTTTATGCCAATGTATTCATGTTGCTACAGAGTGAGCCATGCCTCTTTTGAGCATGTTCAGTAAGGATGTTTTTGAGATTTTGTTATGTTCTATCCATCCATGTCTTTGTTTGCAATTATGGAGTACCCTAGCATGACTCAATATTGCTCTACTTTTGCTATAAAATGTTCCTGGTAGATTGTTTACGTGTTAATCAATTGTGTCAAGGTTGTTGTAGTTGTTCCATGCATGCTATGAGAGTGTTATTGCCATGGTTAGCTTATTGATCATGTCTTCTTGTTGGGTGTATGCTTAGTTTGTCATGCAATGCCTTGTGGTGAGTGCATCGAGCTTGCAAACATGCCTATGTAACTCTATTTTTGCCATGTCCAGTTTTTCTGCTAAGTCTGAATCTGTTAACGAAACTTGCTATGTTTACATGGGTGCCATCATATCTTCTGATCCTTTTTGGCTTATGGTCAGTAAAGGACTTTTGTTATATGCTTTGAGTAGTTTCATGACATGCGTTGCTTTGCCATGATATGTTCCTGTAGCATGTTGTTATCTTGCTCTAAACATTGCTTCCTGATATTAAATCCTGACATGTTGTTATTTTCACTAAGTCTGTGAACCTGTTATCTTTTGCACTTTTGCCATGCTTGTTTGAACCTGCTATTGTGTGATTTAGCCGTAGCTCAGTGTTCATCTTTTGTCAAGCATCTTGAGTGAATCACTGCCATGTGCTTTGTTGCTATGTTAGAGTCCAGTAGCTTAGTTTCTTGTTGCATTCTAGATGGCATCGGGCTGTTAATCGCAGAATTGTGCCATTATTGTTTTGCTTGCCATTTGCAAACCATGCATCCGATTCCGGTGATCTTTATATCGATTTCGACCGAAATCAACTCATCTTTCCAGCGGCGCTCTTGGTTTGCCAAGTTGAGGCCTGGTTCAATCTTTCCCTTCCGAAGCACGCATATGCATTGCATATCACATCCTGCATGTCATGTCATGTTTTGCATCATGTTGCTTGCGCATTGCATCGTGGTTGATTGTGGTTCCCTTTGCTTGTGTTCTTTCTTTGGGTAGAGCTGGGAGACGAGTATGTGATTGAGGAACCCGTTGAGTACGCTTACGAGGATCAAGCTTACGTCAACTCGGAGAACTTTGCAGGCAAGATGACCACACCCTTGAAATCACTTCTATGTTTGCTTGCTAGTTGCTCGCTTTATTGCTATGCCTATGTTGCGATACCTAACACATGCTTTATCATGCCTCCCATATTGCCATGTCAAACCTCAAACCCACCTTGTCCTAGCAAACCGTTGTTTGGCTATGTTACCGCTTTGCTCAGCCCCTCTTATAGCGTTGCTAGTTGCAGTTGAAGATTGGAGTTTGTTCCTTGTTGGAACATGTTTATTGTTGGGTTATCATTATTATATCTTGTTTACTTTAATGCACCTATATACTTGGTAAAATATGGAAGGCTCGGCCTTATGCCTGGTGTTTTGTTCCACTCTTGCCACCCTAGATTCCGTCATACCGGTGTTATGTTCCTTGATTTTGCGTTCCTTACACACAGTTGGGTTATAATGGGAACCCCTTGACAGTTCGCCTTGAATAAAACTCCTCCAGCAAGGCCCAACCTTATTTTTACCATTTTCCACCTAGCCTTTTTCCCTTGGGTTTCGCGGACTCAAGGGTCATCTTTATTCTAACCCCCCGGGCCAGTGCTCCTCTGAGTGTTGGTTCGAAACGGGCAGTCTGCGGGGCCACCTCGGGGCAACTCGAGGGTTGGTTTTACTCGTAGCTTGACCTATCCGGTGTGCCCTAAGAACGATATACGTGCGACTCCTATCAGGATTTGTCAGCACATCGGGCGGCTTAGCTGGTTTTGTTTTACCATTGTGGAGATGTCTTGTAATCGGGATTCCGAGTCTGATCGGGTCGTCCTAGGAGAAGGAATATCCTTCGTTGACCGTGAGAGCTTGTGATGGGCTAAGTTGGGACACCCCTGCAGGGTTTTGAACTTTCGAAAGCCGTGCCCACGGTTATGGGCAGATGGGAATTTGTTAATGTCCGGTTGTAGAAAATCTGAAACTTAACTTAATTAAAATGTATCAACAGCGTGTGTAGCCGTGATGGTCTCTTTTCAGCAGAGTCTGGGAAGAGAACACGGTCTCGTGTTAT